ATTTATGTAACAAAAAACCCAAAAAATCCAACAAAATCGAACAATCCAAACTGATATAATTGGTTTGGTTTGGTTTTGATAAAAACCGAACTAATCCGTTCCATGTACACCCCTAATTTACATAGTTAATAAAAAAATAGAAAATGTCCAGCTGAAAAAAGATGAAAAAATACTAACAACTCAAATTTATAACACTACAACTTGAACTATAGGCTTTTAATCATTAAATTATCTTTCTAGAAACAATTTAAATATTTTGGTCTTTTGAATATTGTCAAAGGTTGAGATGCTTTTATTATTTTAAAGTTTAAACCATAATTTTTGGAATAATTTAATTTTGTTTATTTAGAGGGCTAGTGAAATTGGAACTTGATTATCTTATGGGAGAATTTTCTTAGTAATTGAAATTCATGAGTTTTGTCAAGTGAAATTGGTGACGAAAATGGAGAAGACATCGGTAATGGAGGAAACGGATAAGGGAGAAAGAAAAAGGAAAAAAAAGAAAAGAAAAAAGAAGAAAGAAAAGAGAAAGGTGAAGAAAAACAAATACTAATAAAAAGGAAATAGTGTTTGTAATACACTTTAATACAATTAACGAAAGAACTAATTAGTTTGAGTGAATTCCGTTTCGAAAAGGGCATATATAAGCGTAACTCTAAGGGCATATATGGACCAACTATGTGACGGTAAGAGCATATTTGAGCTAAAGTATTAAGGAAGGGCAAATGTGCTCAATTTCATATAGTACAAGGGCATATTTGGACCTTTGCCCATAAATATTTAACAAAGGGAAGGAAAAAGCAAAACAAAACCTTTTGTCTATTTTCAGGGGAATAAGCTTGTCCTGAAGTGACACATCCCATGCCCTTGAGAAGGAAAGCTCTATTTGATCATCTCTTTCCAATATGACCTTATAGGTTGTGCATATGAGCCTACAGTGTATTGGTGAAACAATCTTATTGCTCAAAACAATTTTGGTTTTACGAACAGTTTTTGTTTAAAGTACTTTTTGAGAACCCTAAGGTCAGTGGCTTGGGGTAGGGTATATATTACCTTTCAAATATTCCTGTAGTTCCTTTAGTCCCACCTGAACTCCAGACAACATCCCAGTATCTAGACGAAACATTTACCAAGTGTTACATTCAATTCCTTTTTCAATAGAAACTTTGTTAATCCATTTTCATGATGAAAAAGAGAACTTATATATGTTTTTCTTAAAGAGAAAGAAATCAGGAGCATTTGACTAAAGAAATGGCAGATGGATTTACCCTCTGTTTGTTTCATCATCATTTAGAATCTCAAGCAAATTGTCAACGCCATTGTATTTGATTCCGGTTACAATGCCATCTGGTACTAACAATGTCACTTGGAGAATACCATTATCCATCACCACCTGTTGAAGAATTTTATCTTCCTATTAGTAAGCTTTAACTATACTTCATTAAAACAACAAGAATCTTCAATATTTTTAAGCTGCACTCCAAGTATTGATTAAGGAAAAAACGCACTTAATGTCTTTGATCCTATACTTGATAACTAGTGAAGTTAACCTTCTTTTCAAAAATGAAAATGCTTTTTTCTTGTAAATACTACGCTTCCACTGCCACATATAGTCAATAACAACAACAAGAATAACAAACCCAGTGTAATTTCATAAGGTGGGATTGTGGATGGTAGAATGAACGTAGACCTTATCCCTACCTTGTGAGGTTAGAGAGCNCCTTATCCCTACCTTGTGAGATTAGAGAGCTTGTTTTCGTTAGACTCTTGGCTCAGGGAAAGATAAAAAAGAAGCAATAACAGCAAGCACTGCCCCATATAGTCATAGAAAAAAATCACATTTTTCGTGCTAAATGATATAGTGATGAATGATTGATTACATGGTGATCATCGGGAAGGTGCAGCTGTACTCCGGGAGCAGTCATTGATCTTGTTTTTTCGACGTCTTCTTAAATACTGCAAAACTGAAAAAAAAAATCTTCACATTATTTTAAACAAGTGGAATTCTTGAAAGTATGACATAAAAAGGAAGAAACAAGAGAGACTATTGACCTCTTCTTGTAGTTTGGCAGAAGCAGAAGCATGTAAGATATTAATATGCATATGTTTGAATCAACACTTCTTCTTGAAATTAAAAGTAAAAGAAAGCAAACTTTAAAGGATTCAACAATTTGTTTATCATTTGGCTTACTCGTCAAAACTGGTTTGGTACAATTACACATATTTTTAGCGTGTAAGAGTCGCCAAGCTGAAGTATGCCACAAGCACAGCTGACGATCATGAAATCATGACTAAAAGTGTGGGAATTTCAGAATACTTGTTAATTTACTTCCCCAAGGTACTTCTCCGGTTCATAATAAGTGATTTTTTTGGCTGTTTTCATATAGATTAAGAAATTTACCTTTTAACATTAATTAGTAATGAAATTAACCATATTAACCTTTACTATCTATTCACATATACACTCCTAACACATACTCCAACACCCTCGATGCCATTCTAAAGAGGATGGAAGAAATGGAGAATGAAAACAAGACACTCCGAGACCAGATGAAAGAGAACCAAGAAGGAGTTGACAAGATACTAGGCGCTCCTAAGCTGCTGCCAAAAAGGGATGCCGATAGGTTCGTAGAGCAGCCGTACAACGATGATGCAGCCCCACATGCCATACCAAAGACCTTCAAAATGCTTGTCTACCTCAAGATATACGACGGAACGACCGATCCTGAAGATCACTTAAATCACTACGTCACCGCCGTGAAAGGCAACGACTACGCCAAGGAACAAGTGTCCTCCATTTTGATGAAGAAGTTTGGCAAAACCCTCACGGGAGGGGAATTAATATGGTATTCGAAGCTACCAGCCCACTCTATAGAAACTTTCGAAGAAATGGATGATAGGTTCGTAACCGCTAATGTCTGAGCCAAGAAGGCCGAGGCGAGAGTAAACGACATATTTGCTATTAAGCAGTCCTTGGGAGAGGGACTAAGGGACTTCTTCGCCCGGTTCAACAAAGTAAGGATGACTTTGTCAAACATATCTGAAGGGATGGCAGTCACAACTTTTCAAAACGGGCAAAGTAGAGAGGGTTCAAGAGCAACTAGAAAACTGTTGAGCCGATTGATGAAGTATCCTCCAACCACTTGGGACGAAATCTACAATGCTTATTGTGCCGATGACTAAGCAGACGAGGATGACCTCAACAGACCAACTCACCGGCTAACCTTGGTACAAGCCGAATCCAGAAAAGAATGAAGAGACAATACAAGAAGAGGTCATCCGATTCCGTGACCTAACAGGGAATGACACCAACTATATGTCAGGGGGGCCGCCTCACCCTCCCTCCGCTATGAAATAGGCCTATCCAAGCCAAGGACGGGGACCCATCTGAATGAAAGAAGTATGCCTCCTTTATTAGCTGCTCATAATTTTTTGGTGTCGCCTATAGAAATAGTCTATGCTCTTGAGAAACTCGGAACAAAAGTGAAGTGGCCGCCGATGATGAGATCAGACCCGAACACCAGAAAATCTGATGCCCTTTATGAGTTCCACCAGGAACACGCGCGCAAAATAGAAAATTGCATCGCCCTCAGACAAGAAGTCGTAAATATATTACGTCAAGGGCAACTCAAAGAGCTGTTAAGCGATAAGCAGAGGACTAACTTTTCGAGAGGACGTGAATATCAAGGCCCGCCAAAGCCGCCATCGCCAGCTCGTACCATCAACATAATCATCGGTGATGGCGACAACGCCTCTATCAACAACGTGAAGTTCATCACCACTCACAAGTTCAAGCGGTCTATCACCCTCGAACAGTACGACAGACTCGAAGAGAGTACCATCTTCGACGAGTCGGATGCTGACGATTTGACTTTCCCTCATAATGATGCCCTCGTTATTACTTTACGCATTTTAGATATCGATGTCAAATGCATCATGGTGGACAATGGAAGGAGTGCATGCATTATCCATCCCCGAGTCCTTACCCTAATGAGTCTCGAGGATAAGATAGTGTCACACTGCATCATACTAACCGATTTTAATAATGCAGTTGAGCGGACATCTGGGGAAATTACACTCCCCATCTTGGCCGGTGGCGTGACTCTGGAGATGATATTCTACATCATGGACCAGGCCACTTCGTACAACGCCATAGTGGGACAACCGTGGATACACCCCATGAGAGCCATCCCCTCCAGTACCAAGTAATTAAATTCCCAACACTATGGGGGATATTCAGCATACGCAGGGAACAACGCACGTCCCGGGAATGCTACCACATTGCCTTGTATAGCACGACCACCCAGCAGAAAAAAAGACAAAGAAAAAGAGGCATAACAATCAACAGGGTCGAGGTCGAAGCAAGAAGAGACCGGGGATGTCATCAAAGATCCCGACATGGTCGAGACTGCAAGTTCGATCGTAGAAGACCTCGACCCCATTCAAATGGGCCCTAACAACCATAGCAAGAAGGCCTATATCGACTGCAAACTCAGGGAACCAGGTAAATTTAGTCAATTCTTTAATAGCTAATGCATATTTACTTGCTTTCAACCATGCAGATATGCCGGGCATCCCAAAGGAATTTTCCACACATAAATTAAATGTCGACCCATTCCACCCCCAGTAAGGCAAGTCAAGCATAAATTCAACTCCGCCATCAACGATGTAGTCTACGAGTAGGTAGAAAACTGTTAGAGAATGGCTCCATCAGTTAGTCGAAGTACCCCAAGTGAATTGCTAATGTAGTGATGGTCAAAAACAAAAATGAGAAATGGCAGATGTGCGTGGATTTCACGGACTTGAACAAAGCATGTCCGAAGGATTCGTTATCATTAACCCATATCGACTAATTGACGCAACAACCGGGCATGAACTATTGAGTTTCTTGGATGATTACTCAGGCTATATTCAACTTCTTTGGAGGAAGAAGATCAATTGAAGATCACGTTCATCACCCACCAAGGAACGTATTGGTATAGGGTCATGCTGTTTGGACTGAAGAATGCGGGGGCTACTTATTAGAGATTGGTGACAAAGATGTTCAAAGACCAGCTTGGTAAGACGATGGAGGTATACATAGACGATATATTAGTCAAGTCCGAAAGGGCAGAGGATCACATCGATCATTTGAAAGAAACTTTTGACATACTCAAACAATACAGAATAAAGCTAACCCGGAGAAATGCGTGTTTAGTGTAGCCTCGGGAAAGTTCTTAGTTTTCCTGGTGTTGCAACAAGGGATATAGGTCAACCCAGACCAAATCAAAACTATCGAGTGGATACCAAAACTCTTAACCACCAAAAATCATGTCCAAAGGTTGACTGGTCCTATCATCGCCCTATCAAGGTTCATCTCACGGTCGTCAGATAGATATCATAAATTATTTAGCGTACTCAAGAAGGACAACGACCTCGAATGGACTTCCGAGTGCGTCCAGGCTTTTCAAGAACTAAAGGTATACCTATCATCACCGCCCTTGCTTTCAAAATCCAAACCTAGGGAGCAACTCCTCGTCTATCTAGCCGTCTATGAGGTAGAAATAAGTGCAGTCTTGATCCGCAAAAATAAAAGTACGCAATATCTCATCTATTACATTAGCAAAACACTCGTCGACGCCGACATGAGGTACCAACACCTCAAAAAATTGGCCCTGGCATTGGTCGTAGCTTTACGAAAGCTTAGACCATATTTCCAATGCCACCCTATCTCAGTCGTCACAACCTTTTCCCTGAGGAGCATTTTGCATAAACCCAAGTTGTCGGGGAAGCTGGACAAATGGGCCATTGAGCTAAGTGAGCACGATATTATGTACCAGCTGGGAACGATGATAAATTTACATGTGCTCGCCAACTTCAGTGCCAAAATAATGCCCGAAGTCGAAAGGGAAGTCGTCCAAGCTTCCCTCCAAACACAAGACCTCTGGGTCCTATGCACCGATAGCGCATCCAACTCATCAGGGTCTAGACTGGGATTCGTACTCGAGGTCCCAACAGGTGAAGTAGTTTGCCAGTCCGTAAGGTGCTCTGATATGACTAACAATGAGGCCAATTATGAGGCCGTAATTGCAGGATTAAGGCTAAAACTCAAGTATGGGGCGAAACAGTTGAAACTCCGTTGTGATTCCCATCTCGTAGTCAACCAAGTCACAAGGACTTTCAAAATCAAGGAACAAAGGTTGCAAAAATACCAGACCAAAATCTACAAGCTATTGCCTGAGTTCGACGAGTGCCAGCTTGATAAGATCCCACGAGCGCAAAATGCCGAAGCAGATGGCCTCGCCAAATTAGTCGCAGCTACCAAAAGCATCACAACCAAATATAAAAGCGTAGTCTATCTCCTCAACTCATCACTTGACCAAATCGAGGTAAGAACCATAAACTTAACTTGGGACTGGCGCAATAGTATTATTGCATATTTGCAGAACGACGCACTCCCAGGCGACAAACAAAGGCCAAGAAATTAAGAATGCAAGCGGCCAGACACAGGCTCCTTCATAGCAACCTATACAAGAGGACTTGCGGCGGCCCTCTGGCGAAGTGCTTGGGCCTAAACCAAATCCAGCGCGTCCTCGAAGAAGTCCATGAAGGCCATTGCGGAGCTCACTCTGAAAATCGAGCACTTATTAGATGCCTCATACGGGCAGGATATTACTGGCATACCATGAAAAAGGATGTCGCATAGTTCATGATGAAATACGAACAGTTCCAAAAGTACGCCCCAATGATTCACCAAGAAGGCGAACAACTCCACTCGGTCACCTCCCCTTAGCCGTTCATCAAATAGGGAATGGATACCGTGGGCCCCCTCCCAGCAGGGAGATGTAATGTACGATTCATTTTGGTTTTAACTGACTATTTATTTAAATGGGTAGAAGCAGGAGCATTCGTCCAGATATGGGAACATGAGGTAATCACCTTTATATGGAGAAACATCATCTGCCGATTCGGCCTACTCAAGAAAA